GGTAATTGTCTTTCAATTTTTTTTGTTTAGTTACGCTAAAGAAGTATAACTTCCTGCGCGCGTACATAACAAAAAATATTTAAAATAACCATTTGTTTGGATTGTGTGTACATCATTTTATTCCACATAATTATACTTAGACAGGTTTAATATAAGGCATCGTCACCAAATAAAAATAATCGAAGAGTACTCTATTCCAGTTCCTGTTCGAAGTGGGCCAAATAGGTGTGCGTTATGATTTGTGGCCGCTCCGTGACGTCTGATTTCAGTCACGCGTCACGTTGTCAGGGGTGGCGTAATTTATTATTATTTAACATTTACTGTCAACCGTACTCACATCATCCGGCGCCCTATTACGGAACAGTTATTTTTGGTTGATTTCGTTAAAGCTTTAATGTGAATTTTTGGTTCGTATCGCGACATAATTGCGGAATTCCTCAATTCAATCCGAAGCTACGCCTATTGTTGCCTGAAAGGTCTCCATTGTTATATCCTTGTAAAAGAGGCCTGTAAGCGATTGAATGTTTATTATATTCTAATGAGATTATTTCATATAATAGCAGTGTAAGTCCACCGTCCATTTTAGTCTCCATTATGACTCGTGGGCATCGTAAGACGCGACTAAAATTAATATCAGAAGTATCTCATAGCCTCCGGTCGATTATGGCATAACTGAGTTGTTAGTCTAGTAGTTTTAAGCGGGACTACTGATCATGTGGACTATGTGGAATTTTGAAGCACAGCGCTGTTTGAGCCAAAAACTTGGCGGTGTTTCACCCCTGTGCCTTGGAAATCACCTAAAGCCATTAGTCCTGTACCTGATCCCTCTCCACTCGTATCGGATCTGTCCCATCGGACCACGAGAGTGAGGAAATGGAGAGGTGCACTTACGCACACAATACTCCATTAAAATACGTTGAAACTGGCTGCCATGACCATAATTAGGTCTGGAGGATTATTACGGTATAACTAACTCATAAATGCGAGATGTAAAATGCCAGAGTGCTTCTGGGAGCAAAAAAAAATGATGGATAATTTCAGTAATACGACTGTCAATGTGCAAGTCAAGAATGGCGATAACGGGAATTTCTCTCCACAAGAAATAATTTTATCCAAGAGTTAACTGTAAGGGTGTGTGAAAAGAGAGTGGAGGATACATAAAATGTTTTAATACGCTGCGATCTAAGGGCGACAAACGAACATACATTCCAGCTAATGGTATGACAGAGAATGCTGTGGTCAAAAGACACTTACATCTGTCCTCAATTAAAAATCTAAATACAGTTGTCACTTTTTAGGACTAACGTATAATTCCTCGATACCACTAAAAAGGGTATGTCACACACCATATGTAAAAGCAGCACAATGCTGTTTTTTTACACTAGTATTCTAGCTATAGTCCTTTTGAGGGCAAAATATCCTTTTTTAGATGGTGTGCGTGTCGTATCGATAAATTTATTTGATAGTTTTATATCATTCAATTTCCATGAATTTATTATCAATCCTAATTAAACAATAGAACTCCTCCAAATTTAAAACGATATTTCTTCAATAATTTCTTCTGCTAACGCGCCGGGTACCAGCTAGTAATCTATATATTAATACGTAAAGAGAAAACTTTGTACCCTTTTTTAAGCATATTGCTACTATTATTTATTCTGTGATATTGCGCGCATCGAGGAGTGTGAAGTTTGGAATTGTTAAGTTTTATTATGGGGAAGGAATGCAGGAAGCTAAAATCTATTTATAATATGTTTTATAAATACATTAAATTAAATAAAACATAAGTAAATTGTTTACGTTCACACTGTCAAACACTTAGATTATGACTTGGATGCTGCTCGGACAAATTATAAGACGTTTGTTGACGTTCATACTGCCACTGTGTTAGAGTATGTATTAAAATGTATATAATCACTACATTTTAGACATAAAAGCAAAAAAAACCTTTATTTCATTTTTTGTTTAATAGATATCTCTCATATATTTTATATACGAATGTGCAGTTGAAAGTGAAATACACCTTGCTTAATACACAAACCTAAAATTTAATGAATTATGGTCACTAAGGCGACCGCTAGTAATCCTTATGACGCGAAGTGAACTTAGATTTTTACGACACATAATATCACATTTAGAATAAAAAATATTCCATCCGCTGCTATAATACGCTACAGAGTGCATCTACCACATAAAACAGACAGTTTAAATCATACTCATCATATACACCTCACAAAGCTAAATAGCCAGCTGAACATAGCCCTATGTTCAGCAGTAGAATTTTGTAAGATGTAATAAATAAATTGATGTATGAATCATACTCGAAATTTTAGCATAGTTTAAGGTGAACGTAAATTTTTTACGTTAACGTAGCGTAACCTTTTAATTTCAAAATTTAAAAAAAGAACATCGCTAGCGACCGAAGTAGATGAAATAAATTACTATTTCAAAAAGAGAAGAATAAAATTGTGCTACTAAGACTTAAACGAAAACTTGCATGATCTTGTAGTCCGTAAAAATAAATTATTCCTTATTCGTTCCAAATCCCACGAGAGCTCTAAGCGTGCTCTACATTGCTAAATCACCTCCGTTAATTACTGAAACATTCTGTCGTGAGAAATGTCGGTTGATGTCTGATTTAGGAGCATTTGTTTCGAACTTATTTAGACAACTAATGTTGTCACTTCTGTTTAGTTAAACTATAATTATTTCAAAGAGAAAATTTATATTTTACGACGAAAATTTAAAGTTGTTAACATTTTAAGACATGTTAAACTTTAAAAAGTACTTAATATTAGGTCCTTACATATGAAATTGGCGTTTTGTACGGGAGGAATATAAATTCAATTTTTTTTTGTAAAATATATTTTATTAATCAAAGTATGCACCGTTGTTATTTATGCACTTTTACCATCTCATAGGTAGTTAATTGATTCCTTTACTAAAAAAACCATGGGGGCGAGAATCAATAAACTCTTTGAAGGCGGTTTGGACTGCCGCATCGAAGTTGAATTTTTTTCCCTGTAAAAAGTTGTCCGAATTCCGGAAAAAATGGTAATCTGTTGGAGCAAGGTTCGGGGAGTACAGTGGATGTCGCAGACATTCTAATTGTAGCTCATCCAACTTAGTGGTTGTTTGTTGTGCAGTGTGTGGTCTTGCGTTGTCGTGAAGCAGCAGTGGCCTAGAGCGATTGACCAATCTCGGTTGTTTAGCAGCTAATTCTTCCTTCATTGTTTGCAGTTGCTGACAGGTATCTGCCGTAATCATTTGGCTAGATTTTAGAAAGCTGTAGTGAATAACACCGGCGCTAGTCCACCAAACACTCACAAGTAACCTTTTGAGTCAATTTTTGTTTAGGTCAGGATTTGACTGGGTCTCCAGGGTTCAGCCATTGCGACGAGTACTGCGATTATCAAACAATATCCACTTTTCGTCACAAGTAATGATTCGAGCGCTTCCGATTATCGTATAGTTTTCATCATAAGTAATTATTCGATTTAAAATCCCTTCATTATTGTGTCGGTTGAGCAAAGTAACACAGCCGTCGACGCGTGTTTGCAAGTTCGATTCACTCAATTCATGAGACACCCATCGTTCAAGTTTTTTTACTTTCGCAGTTTTGCTTCAAGTGGATTAATACAGTTTTATCACTTACCCCAAAGCTTGCAACTATCTCTGAAGTGTTTTGTGATGGATCCGATTCCACAATAGCCTTTAATTCTTCATTTTCCACTTTGGTCTCCGGCCGTCCACGGAGTTGGTTCTGAAGGTCGAATTCCAGAACAAAAACGTTGAAACAAAAAACGTACAGTGCTTTCTTTTGCGACACCAACGCCGTACACATCATTAATCCTTCGAGCTGTTTCTGCAGCACTGGTGCCACGGTAGAACTCGTACTCGTAAATATACCGATATTTCATGTTTTCCATTATGTGGTAATAAGCGACGCCAAAGAAAAAACTAATGAGAAAAAAACAAATGAATGACTGTTTTTCAAACTCAAATGTACCAGCTAAATGAATTTATAAATTTGAGTTTGGAATTCTTAACCAAAGAGGACATATTTCAGATCAAATTAGTCAGTACGACAAAACGCTAATCTCATATGTAAGGACCTAAAATTGTAATAGATAAATTGTTAGCTTTGTATAATGTATTATAATTTTCTTTTTATGGAATAAGGATAACAAACGCGCACACAGTCTACCTGTAGCTAACTGGATGCTGTCGCCCATATACAACTGTATTTATTCTCGATTAAGAATCAAAATGCAGATGCCTTGTCACTCCTAAGGTCTAAGATAGAATTCCTTGTTTCTAGAAAAAAGGGTCTCTGGTTCTCTACACTCTCCATACGAAATACAGTAGTATTAAGCTGTTTCTTACGCTGGTATTCTGTGAGAGCGTGGTCCTACCCCAGTCGAGGCGACGAATTCATGCTACAAACATAATATAGCTGCAGCGTGGCTTTACCACGTATTCCATTTCAGTATATTTCATTTAATTAATATTCCATAGTCATTCATTTCATTTAATTATCTACTCTATGTGATTATATACATTTTAATACATACTCTAAGGCAGTGGCAGTATGAAAGTAAGCAATATACTTATGTTTTATTTAATTTAATGTATTTGTAACACATATTTTAAATAGCTTTTAGCTTCCTGCACTCCTTCCCCATATAAAATTTAACAATTCCAAACTTCACACTCCTCAATGCGCGCAATATCACAGAATAAATAATAGTAGTAATATGCTTAAAAAGGGTACAAAGTTTTCTGTTTACGTATTGATGTATTGATTACTAGCTGGTACCCGGCGCGTTAGCAGAAGAAATAATTGTAGAAATATCGTTTTAAATTTGGAAGAGCTCTATTGTTTAATTAGGAATGAGGAGAAGATCTGAGGCAAGTTTTAAAGAAAAGTCGTTTTTAAAACATATATTATTAAAATTTCGTTATTTTTTTATTTTTATAGATATTTTTAATTTTTCTGATTATTTCATAAAAATAAATGCTATGCTAACTAACAAAGTTGTTAAAGAACCGGCCATAGGAACCGCTCCGGAATAATACCCCAGTTGCCTCGTCGTTCTGTCAATTTCCAGTAAGCAGTCCATGATTTCCTCATTGTTAGGGATGATTTGTTCAGTGGGTAGAAGAAATCCGTATTCACCAACATCACGAAGTTCAAACAAATATACTATAGGTACATTCGCGACACCTTTGACCCAATCAAAACTTGAGCCGCTCACTTCGTCTGTAAAAATATAATTTTAACTTTGCCACTTATAAGTTGTATTACAAAAAAAAATGTTTTATATTATTAATGTGATCATCTCGAGTGAAAGCAAATTAATCTATGATTCTAATAATTAAAGAATATTCCAAAAGAGTCGCAAATACGGTATCATATAATGTTTAATATTCCTATGAAATAATCCATCACCTTATTTCTAATTTTAATATCTAATTTCTTCCCATCCATATTATAAATGTTGATATCTAACATTAAATGTAATAAATACCTGCAACCAACTTAATACAAAGAAGTAACAGATACGTCACCTGCGAGGGCTAAAATACAATGCCTCACAGCACATGTAATTATAAGATCTCTCTATATACTGCAGACCGAAACACAATAGTGCAAGTACTGTTGCTTGATGGTGGAAGGCGGAATCCTAGGCAGAAAAGAAATACTACAACCGGAAATTCTATCTTGAGGTGAGATCAAATTCAACCACAGTTGATATGTAAAATTAACATCAATAAAATAGATGTTTCTTAATACCGTAATCAATTTTATCTAATACTAGCTGTTCCCCGCGACTTCGACCACGCGTAATTTATTACGAATGGATTTCATGGGTTTTAATTTTTTGCGCGGAACCCTAGTTTATTTTTCTTAAATAAAAGTAGCCTAAGTTATTTCTTATAACATCAGCTATCTGCCAGTGAAAGTCCGGTCAAAATCGGTCCAGCCGTTTGGGAAATTAAACAGAAAAAAAAGACAGACAGTAAGACAAACATTTTAAAAATCGTGTTTTTGTTATAAGTATAATTTTATTTATTTATATAGATAACATAGACTAACCAAGAACGAAAGACAGAGCACTGTTTATATTTAAATTAACGCGGAAACAATGCTCAACTTCTTGACACGCACACCGTCCATCACATCCTATCAGGAATCCACTGTCGAGAATAGGTCTCTCCCTCATATTGCCTTATAGGGGCATATCGCCATAGTTGCCTCGCTTGGCAGGCAGGTTGACAATCGCAATTATTTTTATTTTTTATATTTAGTTGTTATTAGGGAGATGCTGCGGCTGATCTCCTGGTTTGTTTCCCTCTGTCGCCTCTTACGACACCCACGCACACATACCTACCCTAAAACATAATGTTTAAGGTAGGTATGCTACCAAGATGACTTTAGACAAATATTTGTGTGTGAGTGTGTATTCTTATAATAAGTTGTCACTTGAAATGTACTAAAATGTAGTGTTTCGTCTATATTTCTTTGTCGGTCTGAGGATATGTAAATTATAAAAATTAACAGTCTTACACAAAATGTCCGCTGAAGTTCCTACGGTGTAAGATGTTCCGTGTCTTTGCATCAATTTATCAGCGCCTCGGATTGCAATCTCATACTGTATAAAAAATATAGAAAACATATTTTAGCATTAAAGTGACTTTTTAGAAAGCTGGCATTTCCTAGTGTTATGAAGAAATATATAAACGATTTATATTGATATTTTTAGTCTTACCATATCTGCGTAGTTTTCCACTAGAAGCACATCAGACCCTGACACGTGACTATATGGAATGAGAATCATCTGAGAATAGGAATGGAATGCGAAATAGTAAAGCAAATTGCATGTCTCTTTGAGACTTAACACATAGTTTGAAATTGCCCGTGTTTCAGGTTCAGATGCTGGGGTCGGTCCGGCATAAGTTTGCGTGCACGGATTCGAAGAGGCACCAGTCGCTAAAACAAATTTATTCATTATAATATTAAACGTGGACGACTAAAAAAATTGGGTTTAATTATAATAACAACAATAAAGATATATGTATTCTAGTTTATTATTACTAGGTTCTGGATACATTATTAGTGAATGACCTGGTTCGAAGTGAGTCCTTTTCTGAATTACAATTTAAGATATTAAATAGTTATACATGATAAAATTGATTTTAAATGTGAGGAACTTCATCATCGTCTTCAGGTAGGAGGCCATATCGAGAAAGGTCATCAATTCGTATCTCTCGATATGGCCTGTTTAGTATGTGTTTGTTACGAGTGAGTTTGGACTTTGGACATTTATATACACGATATATAATTAAAGCGCTAGTGTGTGAATACACGTTCGTAGGAACTTTGTCGGCCTCAAACAGAAACAGAAACAGAAACAGAAACTTTTTTATTCAATATAGATTATAAATAATACTTATTGAAAGTCACTCTTTTGTTTGATTACCACTGGTTCGGAAAAAACCTCTGTCCTGGGAAGAACCAGCAAGAAACCCAGCGGGACTTTTTTTTTTTAAATAACAGCTTACAATCATGATGTTACACAAATTAACAACACAACAAATTAGAAATAGCTTGGTAGCGATCACCTCATTTCCAGGGGTTATTATCATCCATAAATTCCTTAATATTATAATAACCCTTTTTATACAAACTTAGTTTAATAAAGTTTTTGAACTTTGAACAGGCCAAACTTTGTATATTTTCTGGAATTTTGTTGTAAAAGCGTATACATCGCCCCAAGAATGAATTACTGACTCGATGGAGTCGAGTAACTGGTACTACTAGCTTGTGTCTGTTCCTAGTATTTACAGAATGAATATCACTTATTTTTATAAAACTACTTTTATTTTTGTGTACGTACATTAAATTTTCATAAATGTATTGAGAGGCCAAAGTTAATATATTAATTTCCTTAAATTTTTGTCGCAGCGACTCTTTAGGCTTTAAATCATAAATTGCTCTTATGGCCCTCTTCTGCAAAACAAATATAATTTCAGTGTCAGCTGCGTGTCCCCATAGCAAAATACCATACGACATTATGCTATGGAAGTAGCTGAAGTAAACTAGTCTAGCTGTTTCAACACTGGTTAGACTTCTAATCTTTTTTACAGCATATGCTGCAGAACTAAGTCTGCTTGCTAGTTTTGATATATGGGGGCTCCATTGAAGCTTCGCGTCTAGTGTGATTCCAAGAAAAATGGTGGTATCTACAAGACTCAGTTTCTCCCCATTTAAAATTACATTAGTATTTAATTGTTTGACATTTGGAGTCACGAATTTCATACATTTTGTTTTAGTGCCATTTAAATGCAAATTATTAACATCGAACCAATTTACTAATTTAGATATAGCATTATTTACTTCGTCATATTTTAGTAACTGTCGACTTAATTTGAAAATTAAAGAAGTGTCATCTGCAAATAATACTATATCATGGTTATCCCCTACTATGTAAGGTAAGTCATTAATGTATACAAGAAACAGAAAGGGGCCGAGAATTGAGCCTTGAGGCACGCCCATTTGTACCATCGATCCGGAAGAGCTCATATTATTAATGACAACTTTTTGCGTTCTCTTACTTAAATATGAAATAATTAATTTTAGGGCATCACTTCTTACACCGTAGTGTTGAAGTTTCCTGATTAATGTTTCATGGTGAACACAATCGAAGGCCTTGGATAGGTCACAAAATATACCCAAAGCATCCTGTGAATTCTCCCATGCATTAAAGATATATTTAATCAGCTCAACACCGGCATCAGTTGTCGAGCGACCCCTTGTGAAACCAAATTGATTTTTATGAAGTAAATTATTTATATTAAAAAAATTTTACATTTGATCAAGAACAATTTTTTCAAAAATCTTACTAAGTGTTGGTAGTACAGAAATAGGTCTAAAATTGGCGGGGTCTAATGTACTACCAGATTTAAATAAAGGTATTACTTTACTATGCTTCATTAAATCAGGAAACACACCAGATTCGGTACTAGTATTAAAAATAATAGCTAAATGAGGCGCGATTGTATCTATTATAGACGCAATAACTTTAACGGAAATCCCCCACAGATCCGCAGTTTTCTTAACATCAATAGTTTTAAAATATTTTACAATATCTTTTGATGTCACTTTATGAAATGTAAAATTCTTTGTACACACATTTACATTATGTTTAAGTAATGATTCGGCGACGGCAGGAGAAGAATTTAGTGACTTAGTGGTCAAGATCGGAATATCAGTAAAATATTTCTCAAAAACCATTGCTACGTCCTGATCTGATACAGTTAATTTGTTGTTAACACTTAACTGGTAATTTGAATTGCGAGAGTTGATCTTACCAGTTTCGCTATTAATTATACTCCATGTCATTTTAATTTTATTGGAAGCCGTCTTAATTTTGTTGCTCAAATGCAAAGACTTGGCTATGGAGCACACTTTTTTAAATATTTTTGAATATTTTTTTACATATTCCCTAAATTCGACGCTATGATTATATGACCTTTCATGGTAAAGATCATATAACCTATGCCTGCTCTTATGGACTCCTACCGTCGCCCATTCATTGAATGACTTCCGAATGTTCAAGGAGAATGTTTTAGAAGTAAAAGTATTATTAAATTCATTGCAAATAAGCTTAAATAATGTTCCATACAAAAAATTAGGATCATTTTGGTATGAAAGTGATGGAAGTTTTTTCACTATGTTACTTCTAAATTTCTCCAAGCGACGTGCATTTACTGGAACAGACACAACTTTCTCATCTACTTGCTTTTTGTGAACATAAGGTAACGAAACTACTTGTCCACAGTGATCAGAACTTAATTTTTGAATTATACATTTATGCAACGGCTTCACATTTGTAAAAATGTTATCTATACATGTTGCACTAGATTGAGAAATACGCGTTGGCTCTATAAATAAATTAAAAAGACCATATGATTTAAACAATGATCTAAATTTAATATTGATGGAGGAAGCTTCTAGGAGATTGATATTAAAATCTCCACATATTACAACAGATTTATTCTGTTTATTAAGCTTAGCAAAAACTTCCTCCATAATGTTTTCAAAAGTATCATATGTACAACATGGGGGTCTGTAGACGCTCACAACAATGAGGTGCTCAAACTCAACACATGCCATTTCTACAGTTCGCTCAACAGAGAGGCTCACAATGTCTTTACGTTCTTTACATGATAATAATTTACTAGCTAATATTAAGGAGCCACCTCTTAAAACCGTATCTCTATTGAAAGAACTGACCACCTGGTGATTACTGAAGTTAAACATTAAATTATAAGATTTTAACCAATGTTCAGTAATACATAAGATATGAATATTGTTGCTATTTAAGAACAACTCAATTTCTAGCTCTTTGCCTATCATGCCTTGTATATTTTGATGCACCAGGTGTAAACAATTTTCATTATCTTTCTGTGGAGTCATACAATTAAAGATTTGTAAGCCACATTCTAAATTATTTAAGTTATTATAACTGCTAGAGATTACCTCTATTGTCTCATTTTCTAATTTAAATTACTTGGAACTGATTCCAAATTGCATATTAAGTCATTACACTGCTCAAAAGAAGCAGATGTCTGTGTAGCCAAGTCCTTGGCTGAGTTAATATATAAATAATAAGATAGCACATTTGCTATCTGTCTTAAATTATATTTTGATAGGTAATACCTATCTCTAGTCAAAAATTTCTTAATTAAATTATTTATATCTATTAAATTAATTCTATCATTATAATTGTAACAATTAAATGTCAAGTTTAAATTATTATTACATGAAAAGTTATTCATTAATAAATTTAAATCATATCTTATTTTATTTTCCTGCGGCCAACCCTGTATGTAAGGCAATGTAAACAAGATAATTTTATGTACATTTAAAGTATTTAGATTATCAATATATTTTAATAATTGATTTTTGTTTACATTGCCTCTTCTCCCAACAAGAATAATTAATGTGCTATTAGGACAAAATTTACTAGCTAAAACTTTATTCATTATATGACTAAAGGATGCTCCAGGCATGCAATAATTAGTGATCATATGTCCTTTTAAACAGTTATTTAACATCATGCCCAAATTTTTGCCTATGTCATCACAATACATAATAACTTTATTTTTTTTATTATTTACATTACTTTTTAAGTTTATATCCTTTGTCATAGCACTGTCATAGAGTGTAGATGAAAATAATGAGGTCTTACTGTTAACTTTGTTATTTACACATATTGTCCCCGATGAACCTGGTATGGAGCGCTGATACTCACTCTGATTTTTTATTAAGGAGTCAAAGCGCTCCTCATTATATTTACATGATTTTACCAGATCATTCATGGCCAATATGTGTTCTTTTATCTCATCTTGAGCCGATGCATATTTATTTGATACAATTTCTAGAGAGCTTTTAAGTGATAAAATTGTTGAATGTAGACACTCTATATCAGTCTCATAACAGTGATTCATATTTTCCACCTCAATTGAATATATTTTAAGTTTATTAATTAGTTCTTGCTTTTCTTTGCATACATTTATATAATTTTTAACATTAATTTTAGTTTTAATTAATTTTTGTAGTTTTCTAATATATTTATTAATTTTTATATATTTCTTTAATTTTCTTCTACTGCAGGTAGTTCTTACTGCTGTTCTTGACATGACATAATCATCACCAGTCAAATCGATTGTTGTGGAGGGTTGCAATGCTTTAGATTTAGTAGATTCACACTCTATGAGCTCGTTGAACAGACTTTGAGTTTGGGACGCTTTCATGTTATCTATGTAATGTTTTAATAAAACAATCTGCTCATTAGCCTCACTTAACTGTAACTGCAATGCAGCAATTAATTTGAGGGATTCCTCATATTCCTTGCTGCATTGGTCAAACTCATCGACTGTTCTCTGAAGTTGATCCCTTTCTTTTGTAACAAATGTATATTCTTTATGCAAGTTAACCATGTCACTTTTTAGTTTAGTATTTTTAGCAATTATATTTATTATTTCCTTTTCATTGTCATCCCTTTCTTTAATTAACAGCTCACACTGCTCCTTTGACGCCTTAAGTTCTTGAAGCGCCATTTGAAGTTGGTTCTCCAATTGGCGCGTTTTGGCGTTGCGTGTATTCATTTTACTATTAAATGTAAATAGCAAAAGAAAACAAAGAAAGAAAACCAAAGAAGCAGAGTAAGCAAATGTCGAGATGTATGGGCGTATTTACAGATCTCAAATTAAATTATCATGTAAATAATTCAAAATGAAATCCACAACAACACTTAATAGGTAAATCTTAAAATATTAAAGGGATAACAAGAATTACACTTACAATACGTTTAAACGATGTTCGTTACAGCTGTTACTTTTGGTTGAAACAGTAAACACAATGTATGTAATTAAAATAGGTACTTCTGACATTTACTTATATCACAAACACAAATAAGTCGTATTTAACAACTGTAACTCAAAATTGAGGTGGATATTATTAATTTACGATATTTAATTTTTTAAAATAGTTGGGAGCAATTATTTTACAACTTGTCACCGGGGTTGCCACAGAGAAAAAAAATCTCAGGGGTATCTCGATTAGAGCGGGCTTGGTAACATAGGGGGCTGAACTGACTAACCATAAGTCCAATTGAATGAACAAGTCCATTGCTAAACATAGGCCTCTTCAAGAACGACATAAAGCCCCTGAGTCACTTGCATATATCGTTTCGTGCAGGGGGTTCCTTTCCTCTTAAGGGGTCGTCACACCATCTAGTGAAGGATTCCATACACAATTACCTTAGCAATATGCAAATGCCACTCGAAAACCTTTCTTCTTCAACGGTTGTCATTTTTTCGAGTTATATGGTCGGCCGAAGGTCACTTTAGCTTACTGACCTATTGGGCTTTGTCGGTTACTCTAATTCTACTCTAGATATCCTCATTAATATATCAATTATGCAGAGAAATTTTGATAATAGTCTTTTCTTTAGCGCGATACATTCACTCCCTGCTTCTTTATAGCAGAAAGTAGACAGGTTTAATTGAATATTATGCCTTTACAACCCAGTTATACAACATGTATGATATTTTATAACTGTGCTATGGAAGTGTACAACAATCAATTGTTTCGTTAGTCTAGTGGTTGGAAGCACAGCTACTGATCATTAGAGTTTAGGTTCTAATCTCGGGTCGGTCCAGAAGCAGTTGTTAGGTTTAACTGTTTGTGTGTTTTACGTGGTAGAGCCATTCTGCAGCTATATTGTAGCACGAATGGGTCGGCTCGACCGGGGAAAGACCACGCTCTCACAGAATACCAGAGTAAAATAGCAGCTTAACGCTGCTGTGTTTCTTATGGTGAGTGTAGAGAACCGGAGAGCCTTGTTACTGGAAATGACGCATTCCATCTTAGTCCTCAAAAGTGACAACGCATCTGCATTTTGATTTGTAATAGAGGATAGATGTGGATGTCTATGTGCCGCTGCAACCACTTACCATCAGGTGGACTGTGTGCTCGTTTGTCACCATATCCTATAAAAAAAAAACTATCAAGCGATTCTAAGTAGAAGCCCAGAGTTAGGAAATTGGCAGTTTTCTATCCCTATACTTCGGAAAGCACGTAAAGCCGTAAGTTAAATTTAGAATCTCGCATATTTTGTTTTCATTAAGTATTATATAAGGAACTGATAAAAATACTTACTCATCCAAACGATATCAAAATTTCGGTTTAAATCAATGCCGTTGCTTAAATCATCGGAGCCGGATGAACAGTTCACAAAATTAGCTATATTTCGATTTTTCCGCCACATTCGGTCCTGAAAGTATGTTACGCCAGTTTTATAATATAACTAGCTGTGCCCCGCGACTTCGTCCGCGTGGAATTTACTACGATTTCATGGATATCAATTTTTTTGCGCGGTACCCTCATTTTGTTTATGAGTAATGTTACCATCTTATAAATATTGATAAATATTGACATTAATATTTATGCGATACTAATGTCACTCAATTGTTTTGCCTTCCCGGAACCCCTCCACTAACAGTTAAACTTTATGGATTGGTAATAATACTTAAAAGTCAATTTGAACTTTATGGTATTAAAGTTCAGATTGACTTTTAAGTATTATTACCAATCGTTTATATAGGAATATAGAAAAGTGGTGTTTTTAGACTTTTTTTAGGCAATTTTTTAAATTATTCTCTCCGTAAGAACCATCTTCGTAATTCAAGGAATATTATAAATAAAGAATTAGCGAAATCGGTTCAGCTGCTCTCGAGATTTGCGCTTAGCAACACATTCAGCGATTCATTATTATATTATAGATAATTGTTAATATACAGAAAATGGCAAAAATAATTTTATTTGTCTTTTTTATCTATTACTATTTATTATTATGAATCATTGTATACATTTTTAGAAGTCTTAGCCAATTTACGACTGAATAAGTTGCAGATTGTTCAGAGTGCTTAGAAAGTTGGGTTCATTTAAAGAAGCACATTCATCCGTATATCTAAATCATATTTTTAAAATAAACATCTTGCAGTATAGTTGCAACTAGTGTTGTTAAGTAGTATTGATATCACTGGATTTTTTCTTTAAGAACTACTTAAAAATTGGTTAATGTCTTGTATATAGAAAGTTATAATTTTCACATCAAATTACTTACATTCGTAAAAGTGTAGACGTAACCGTCAGGATTTACAACGGGAAATATATGCCAAACAAAAGCTCTTGCCAAATTTTGCACTTCACTGTTATCACTAGTCAAAAATTCTTTGATAATCCAAGTAACCGTTGCGGGAGAAATCCACTCACGAGAATGTATACCACCTTCTATCATGGCAACAAGCGGTGATTCACCTCTTTCTCCTGCTTTAAAGTCTATTACAACTCCTTTAATAAGGCGTCCTTCGTTCGATTCTCCAATTTTGACTGTTGTTACAACATTAGGATACATTTCTGCTAGTTCATCAAGCCAAGTGTGAATTTCTGCTAGAGAATGGTATCTAGTCCAACTGAATGAACCGAGAGTAGTGCTACGTTCTACATTCATATTAGAAGGTCTTAATTGATCATCAATTAATCTGTAAGCAATCAGTTTATAAAACTTATGGAATAATATTTTGGATAGAGAAAACAAACTTTAACACCTTGCATAGACTAACTAGCATGACGATCAGCAAATTAAGTTATATTTAAAGTTATGTAAAATAATAATAACAGAATGAATCAGATGTAATGATTATGCAAAGGATTGTATCTGGAGATGTGTGTGGATACAATTGCTTGAATAGTTTGTGTTCAAACACTATACCAACAATATGGTGGGACACAATAAACAATAAGCTAAAAAGGGAGACAAGATCTTTTTTAATTAAAATAATAAGGAGGGAATATTTTTAGGAATCACATTTAATTGTGGTTAAAACAAACAAAGAGTGGTTAGTTATTAATTCATTTTTTGTAGCCTTACTAATGTAAAAATTATAAAGTGACTTACTTTTGCACATTATTTATACTAATAACCGGATTCAGTCCAACATTTCTGCAGTATTGAACGAATTCTTCATCTTTCAACGGCGATACCATAACCCTTACATGACTGTTAACAGTAAAGACATCAGTCCAATAATCATAACCTTGTTTTTTTAAATCATGTAAAATCTGTACTTGAACATCTGTTTTCGGAATTACATCATACACTTTGTAGTTTTCATAACCTTTGTAGGCATTAACTGTTAGCCCTACGCTACTTAATAATAATAAATATTTAAGTATCATTATGACACGTATCAAACATGTACAGTATCAAAATGTGAATCGAATTATAAAGAGTAAATGTTTTTTTTTATTTGCCTTATCGTAAATATTATAGATTACTACTATCATTTTACAATACTTAAGTATTTTTAAAATATTATAGCTGTTATCAATATCTCAGATATGAAAAAGTGACATGTCTTAAATATTTTGTTGTTGTTGATTGATAATTTTCATTTTAATATTCGTCTCTCATTATATCACAAAAATAATGTAAAATGTGATATGTGTAAAAGGTACCTTTTTTACTACAAAATTTGTATTAGAAAAACAAATGTTTAATTTATAGTAGAGCTAAAAAGAACTCAAACAACATGTATTGATTATGAGCTGTAAAATTCATAAAATTATTGTATTTTCTTTGATTCATAATACGGCGGCAAAATGTTCCATTACATTTGTATAGGTAATTATATACATAGTGGTCAAGCAATGTAGCAGTATGTGAAAATAATTGAACATTTTATAAGCCGACGACGTTAAATTGTGCACTTAATAATGTCGATGTACTTCAAGCGCATTCACACTGCGACTTGAACTTCCGATTAATATCATAAGTTGCAAGTTCACTCATCTCCGCTTTCCGGTGTTTGATGTGAAACTTATGCAATAACATTGTCAAAAGGATTAGATGCAGTATGAATATGTATCCTATTATTATATAGTATAATATTATGTCGGACAACGGGTATCCATAGCCATTATTAAATTTAACTAATAGGTAACTGATAAAAAAGTCAGGTAAGGAAAACAAATAATAAAGACAAAGTCAGAGTCAAATATTTTTATTCAAAATTAGATTTTACTCGTAAATAACACTTTTTGAAATTCAAATGCTACGCCATCGTTTCAACAAGTCCCTATTGCGGGGAGACCTTCTTTGCCATTTTAGACGCTTTCTTGACAATTAAACTATGTTACTTCCAGTAGTTACAATTTAACCTTATAAAATATATACATGTATAAAAAAAAGTCTAAGGGAGCTCATTCTGTCCTCGCAGTCCTATTATCGTTTTAATAGTCTTTTAATTTATAATGTCATTTCTTTACAAGAACGCTTTTTACATGTGTTTTGAATTTATGCAAAGGCAAATCAGTTATATTACGGGGAATCTTGTTATAAATAATTATACATCTATCCAAAAATGAGCCGCAATTTTTATGTTGAGGGAATCCCATTCTACTGATCTATGACCTCTCGTACAATACACTTGTATAGCGGCTAGGTATATTCGCCAATATAGCCTAACATAGCCAAATAGGGATATCTTTTTTTGTAAGCATAGCTACCGAAGCCGTCAGTTTATAACTCTACAAACATCGCCAGTTCGCTACAAATATGAAACAGTTTCAACATTTAAATAAAGGTGATAACATTACTTGACAGGCTTATAAGCGGATACTCCTCCGCTATTAAAGCTAACTCTCTATCACAATCAATGGGATTTAATCTCGTAATTTTAAAGGATTTTCTGCCATCACTTGGAATAATATTTTGAGTTTATGAAGATAACTTTTATGAAAAGACATTTCTTTCAGATCCTTTTATTTTATCTTCTAAGCTTGAAACCATTACAAATAATATTGAAAGCAAAAAAAAAATAAAGTACATAGAATAGAACATAATAACTTATGAATATAAAAAATAAGTTTTAATACATAAATATATCAAATAAAATAAAAAATAAAATAAGAGATGTCGAGTAAGCTATATTTGTTGAACTGGAATAATAACCCAAAAGTCTTGTCGTCCTATCCATCTCTAATAAGGCATCCATGATTTCCAAGTTGTTAGGAATGATCTGCTCTGGTGGCAATAGAAAACCGTATTCTCCAAGATCTCTCAGCTCGATTAAGAGCGATACTGGGACACCTGTTTCGTTCTTCACCCAGTCAAAACTTGTACCACTCATAGGATCTGAAATTAAAATTATTGTTTTAACTAATGATTTTCTTAATATTTATAAATAAAAAATTGAGGCAAATTCTTTCTACTGTTTTATTATATTGATGTTGGTGACTAATTTATTTATTGTTTTATTCATTTATAAGGAGTACTAACTAAAAATTATGCTCCGTGAGGCTTGTACTAAGTAAACCAGTCTTACAGGGTTTTTGACCTTCCTTCTATTGTAATAGTAGATATTGAAACATTTCCAAGCAAATTTATATATGAATAATTTACAGAGTAAGAATCAAATAGTACTCGTATATGAAAAAAAATAACTCAAATTTATTTAGTAAAAAAAATATGACAAAGCAGTGGGTAATGGACATATTTTGGTAAAGTTTGTTTGTTAGGCTTATTTATAAAATACGCGGGGATCGTGAGGTCCATGGCCCTTTACGGGGCCCCGGTGTGGGCGCGTGGTTTGGCGCGGCTTGCCGTCCACCACCTAAACGCGCCCCAAAGGGTGGTTGCCGTAAAGATGGTTCGCGGCTACCGCACGATCTCCCGCGAGGCGGCGAGCCTCCTTGCCGGATTGCCGCCATGGGATCTGGAGGCGATAGTCCTCGCGCGCCTGCACGAATGGCGCGCGGCAGCACTATGCCGGGGGGAAACCCCGCTGCCGCGGCAAGTTGTCGCGCAGCGGACAGACTTCCGGCATGATCTCATGGCGACATGGAGAGAGCGACTGTCGCAACCCCGTGCTGGGCACGCCACTATAGCGGCGATAAGACCCCTCTTTGAGGAGTGGCTTGAGAGACGCCACGGCGTCCTCACCTTCCGCCTGACGCAGGTCCTCACCGGACACGGTGTGTTCGGGAGGTTCCTGCACCGAATCGGGCGGGAGGAAACGCCCGGGTGCTCCCACTGCGAGGATCGACCGGAGGACACGGTGGAGCACACCGTGGAGGTGTGCTCTGCTTGGGCGGAGCACCGCCGTGTCCTCGTAGCGGCGATAGGCGGCGGCGACCTCTCGCGTCCGGCTCTGGTCGAAGCCATGGTCCGGAGCGAGACGGAATGGGATGCCGTCACCCCCTTCTGCGAAGCAGTGATGCTAGCGAAGGAGGTGGCGGAGCGGGAGAAGGAAAGAGCAACAGCTTTCCTTCCCGGCCGCCGCGGGAGACGCCCCGGGCGTCGGGGGCTACGTCGTGGCCGCCGACCACCGTAGGCGCGGGCCTGTGGACGGCGAGCAATGGGTAGCTCGCCGTCCGTCCGTCTAACGACGACAGGCCGTGTCGACGGCGCGTTTTGTTCCACGCGCGCCTCAAAGAGCTGTCAGCAGCGTGAAGGGGCCCGCAAGGGCCGACGCCTGCCGGGGCTGCGGGCTGTTCGAAAGAGATACCGCGGCTCCGGAACGTAAGGGCACTGAAGGAACACGGATGGTTTTTAGTCAGTAAAAGTCTGACACTCCCTTCCGCTCCACTCACAGCGAAAGGCGTCATTAGATGATTTTCCATCCGCAAAAAAAAAAAAAAAAAGGCTTATTTATGAAAGCCTGCGTGATTGGCAGGTAGTTGGGAGCTCATAATTTCATGGTTTGATAGTGAATAATATTAAGGATTATTTATTATTTTTTAAAAGTAAATTTTCGAAATAATATGAACTTAGATTAAAATGTTGAATGCAACAATTATAATAACTACCGCTTAAATTTAATAATCCCAACCCCCAATTTCTGGATGGTTATAGACCAAGAAATTGTCGCGCTACTTTAATGCAAATTTCTGAACTTCTATCCATATCGCCCCGAGAGAGACTCGCGCCAAGCGTGGCAACTGTGGCAAAATCCCCCCTAGGGGGCAATCTATGAGGGAGGACTGTTTTCAGCAGTGGACTTTTATAGGCTTTAATGAATTAAGGAATAAATATCCTATATTTATACGGACTCCATTAGAACAGTAACTGAGTGCACGCTCTGTTAAAGTTATACATCATTGCGGGGCGTGCGGTGTAGATCTAAATACATATAACGCACTGTATTTATTCAAAATATGCACTTGATGATAAAAGCTAATATTAAAACAATTTAATACGTACGGGCTTAGATTTAATATAATCAAAGACAAAATAAGAACCAGAGAGAAATAATAATTCATCTTGTTGTGCAAACCTGAGTGGCGGCCGCACTAAATACATATACGCTGAATGCACTGCTCCACATCCCGTCGAACGTTCTGCACTTAAGAGTTTGCAGTGTGCAGAGTAGCGGCCGCACAAAAATTTTTCCAGCCGCGACTCTATACTGTATGCATTTTAAAACGCTTTCTACTCAGTGTATGCACTGCTGCTTAAAGGCAGAAATAGGGATGAGAGTTGGAATTGGACTCGTAGGAAGAAATAAAAGCAACTTGTGGAACATACTTAATAATAATAATGTCAACGTATTTTTTAATTTCGGAAGCATCCTCAAAAATGTTTTCTTTGCTTGATGTGATTAATCAATACTTCAAAAGAAAATAACTTTTTTGCGTTCTTTGCAATTTAAAACAGTTTTCCGGCTCTAACATAGGTTAACAAAATCAATATTTATAATTTAAAAAAAATTACTACTCACACATTATATCAGCAGAAACACCAGTCTTGTATACGGTTCCAAATCGTTCCTCTAGTTTATCAGCGCCTCTTCTTGCAATTTCATACTGAAAATTAGTTGATTCGGAAGTCGAAGAAATGCAAATATCAAATAATTTTACTATAGCATAAGTTTCATTAAATAAAATAACAGTGACTTTCCGCCTACACGGGTTTACTGCCAACATCATAGCGATTGTGTAACTCTGGAAACCTTTACCGGTGGAAACCACTCTGCAACCACTTTGTTTTATGATAATATTTTGTACATTTATTTGGTATTAATAAAATATACAAATATATCAGCTTATAATCAACACTAATACATAAACATAATGCAATGAAACTAAAATGTCTAACTACAAAAGGTCGATTCCGACCAGAGTTACATAATCGAACGCATAAAGGTATAAGAGTATTGCTCCTACTTTTCTGAATCCTA